AATCCTGTCTCCTCCACTTAAGGATTCTAGGGATAATCTTAGGCAATTTTCTTGATCTCTCTGCCCCTAATTTCCATCTGCGAGATGGGAATTACAAGACCTACTTCAAAGGGTTGCTGTGAGGAATAAATGCAACTCATGTTTATCAAGGACTTAGCATGGTACCTAACACACGGCCTGTACTCAAGAGATAAATTGGAGTTCTCTGATGGCTATGATTCAAATGCTGCTGCCCTTCACGGACCATTGGAGGCCCAACTTCATGGACGGTTTGCTACCTCTGTCTTGGAGCATTTCTGGATTCCTTCATACGAGAACAGAGTCTGTCTTTGCCGAGCTACTGGAGTACTCTGTTGGTACTTCCTTCATAGCACTTACTGCTTGCTGCCCTGTGTTGCTGCCTTGTATTTATTTCTGTCCATGCTTTATGTCTGCAATAATACTATAAGTTCCTGGAGGACAGAACTGGGATCTGATTTGTTTACTGTTCCTGACATTGCCTCACCATTCCTTGTACATCACAGATACCCATAAATGTACATTGCCCCCACGGATGAATATCTGCAAACACCTCATCAATTATTGTATAATCCAGTAATTTTCACAGTCCTTTGTAAAAATGGCCCAACTAGTCAATCTACAGGTTAAAGGGAACGCAATTTAGAATGTGACCACTGCATCTGGTCTAAGGGTGGTTTAGTTGTGGTGTTCAGGCTTGTCAGCAATATCTGTCAGAGGCTGCTGGGACAGGGCAGCCAAGGTCCTTTAAGAAGCAGTTGGACCGGCCTGGATAGAAGACTAAATTCTAAATTGCAAATTTCCAGGGTGCCTGGGTGGCTCAGTGGGTTGATCTTCCCACTTTGGCTCAGGTCATGATCTCACAGTTTGTGGGTTCGGGCCCCACATTGGGCACTGTGATGACAGCTCAGAGCCTGGAGTCTGCTTCGGATTCTGTGTCTCTGTCACTGTCTGCCCTCTCCCCTCCCTCAACTTGAGCTCTGTCTCTGTCTCTCAAAAATAGACGTTAAAAAAAAATAAAATAAACTGCAAATTTCCATTCAATAAGTGAGTTGATGCTGATAATCTGTCCGTGAAAAAGGTGAGAGAAATCTAATTTCATAATTATTGGAACAAGAAGAAAGAATCAAAAGATCAGATTGAATTGTATGAAATACAAAATGGTCAGATACAGGTTTTTTTCAAATGATTCTCAACCTGCGTAATTATATTATCTGATCATCTGAGCAACGTATCTATAGGATATAAATTATCATAAGGTCTAATGCGCCAAGAGGGAAAGGGTACCATGGATCTCCCCCTATCTTTTCTGTTCTGAGTTACTGACTTAACATCTGTCCAACAACTTCCCATCACGGCTGAAGTAGCATTTCGGAAGCCCAACTAAGGAGCAAGCATGACCTGTACTTGTGGACACACCAGATGGGTAAGTGGCCTGTGGCAAAGCAAGGGGAGAGGGCTGCGATGCCCTGGAGCAGAGCCACGCCACAGCTGCGGGAGGGTAGGCGGGCAGATGACCGGCAGATGAAGGCCAGCCTTCAGGGGCAGAGTAGCCTTTGAAGTCAGGCCTGGCTGGTGGAGACAGACTGCTCGGAAAAACCAGGACCTGGCTTGAGATTGAGGTTGGCAAAAAGACATCACGCTGTACTTGGACAGCATTGTCGACGGACCATGTTTCTAATTCCGTCTTATAAACTCTGGATAATGCAGATTTTTATAAGGTTATATTTTCATAAGAAAGTGAAATTATGTGAGTTGTAAATATGTATGTAAATATGTATGGAGATGATGTCAGCGACACTCATAGCCCAGATCCTCCCGTTGCGCAGGGATGCTCCAAGTTGCTGATGCTTGTTTGTTTTGTTTTTTGCTTGTTGGCGTGGCCCAGGCATATAGACCTGATGTCATAAAAGGAACCCCAGATTCCAAGGGAAGTTCTATCTATACCAATCCAGCTTAGCTCAGAAACACAGTCTCTTTGAGGGTGGCTCAGTTGGTTAAGCGTCCAACTCTTGGTTTCAGCTCAGGTCATGAACTCATGGTTCAGGAGTTTGAGCCCCGCATAGGGCTCCATTAGCACAGACCCTGTTTAGGACTCTCTCTCCCTCTCTCTGTCCCTCCCCCTCTTCAAACTAAACTAAAAAAAAAAAAAAAAAAAAAAAAAAAAAAAAAAAAAAAAAAAAAAAAGAAACAATCTCTTTTTAAATCCCTTTTCCTTCTCTCCCATTCTTTGCCTGGAATTTGATTTCTGTAGGTTTTTTTCCTATGAATAAGTGTGGAAGCGATTCTGACTTATTCTTCCCCCCTCTGTCCGCTCGAGCCCCAGGCCTTCTTGCTGCTCCTGGAACATGCCCTGCCTTCCCTTTCCTCCAGGTCTTTGTACAGTCCCCTGCCTGGACTGGTGTCCCCGGATACCTGCCTGGCTCCCTCACTCCCGGCAGTCACTGGTTCAGAGGTCACCTTCTGGGGGACGCCTTTCACAAGCATCGCTGTTTTAAATTGTACTGCATAGTCCCCTTTGCAACTTTATATCCATTCTACCTTTTAAGAGACATGATATATATTTCATGTATTTTGCATTGTCTGCCTTCCCCCGCTCCATCTATTAGGGTTAAGCCTTCACAAGGGCAGACATTTGTATCTGCTTTGTGTGCTGTGTGCTTAGGGCCTGGAACAGTGCCTGGCACAGAGGAAGCGCTCACATGCTTGTCGAATACACGGATGGATAGTAAGAAGATGTGAGAACTAATGTTCATGACTTGCTCTTCCTCTTGCCTCCTTCTTTAAACCGTTGCGTATCTGCAGAGTAGCCACAAAAGCCTTTCCAGATGTAGAGAAGTGGAACGGTTTCAAAATCGGTTGCAGGTTCAAGCACATACACCTTGTGCAGATTCCAGACTGGGTGTAAATTAGATTTCAGCTCTGCTCCCCATTCGCCAGCCTGCACTTTCCGAAAAGTATTTTTAAAGGTATGCATTCCAGGTTAAATAGATTCCTGTGCATCTCAGCATATTTCAAGGCAGAGAAATAAAATGCTCTGCCAACAACTTAATTCACAAATATTTATGAAGCTCCTACCATGTGCCAAGCCTCCCTGTGGTAGGCCTTGGCAGGAAACACAAAGGAAAAAAGCAAAGTCCCAGTCCTTAAGGGCTTTAGCATCGAGAAGGCGGTAGAAGGTAAGTGAAGATAAAGAGAATAGAAGGCAGAATGTGATAACTATTGATTCAGGGGTAGTGCTTGTCCTTCTGCTTCAATCTCTGGATCTTATTTTTACAAGAACCAACACTTTTTTGGGGAAAGACACTTATGCCCGACTTGAGAGTGTCTTCCACTGTTGCCTCCTCATCCCAACCCTCATCCCCCCACCCCCCCAGCCCCAGGAAGGAAACGGAGACGGTAAAAGTTCAGAGCCATGGAAAGGGGCCTTGGGGTCTTCAGTTCCGCCCAGGCCTAAGGAAGGAAGACCAGACTCCATCTTGTTCAGTGCTGCAGCTGACGTGCAGAATACCACCTCCACGGAGGGGCGCACGGGGCTGGGTGCCTACTCTGAGCCCTGCCAAGCGGCCCCCACCTCTGCTAGAGAAGCAGGGAGAAAGGAGAGAACAGTTCTGCTTTTACAGAACTGGTGCAATCAGGCGGAAGGGGCCCCGGCAGGCCTGGTTTCAGCCTTAGGGAATCCTGTGTCCCCCCATAGTTAAGGTAAAGGCATCCTGGCCTTGGGGCAGCCGGTTCTAAAAGACAGCCTACATGAATTCTTTCAGACACAGTTTTAGAAAAAAGCAAAGTGTGGACAGACTTGTATGCACCAAAGATGACCTACCCGCTTGTGAGATGATTTTGTTAAATTCTCTCTATATATTTTAAATTTTTTTAATGTTTATTTTTGAGAGAGATAGAGAGACAGAGAACAAGCAGCGGAGGGACAGAGAGAGGGAGACACAGAATTCGAAGCAGGCTCCAGGTGCTGAGCTGTCAGCACAGAGCCCGATGTGGGGCTAGAACTCATAAACAGTGAGATCATGACCTGACCCAAAGTCAGATGCTTAACCGACTGAGCCCCCCAGGTGCCCCGATATTTTTTTCTTAAATATATCTTACAAATAAAGAGGAAGGAATAAACATCATTAAGTAGTATTCAGCCTGGGGAATGGGAACCTGACACCCATCCACGATTCTCTGCAGTGGCAAGGGCCACATGGGAAGATCTGAGTTCTCAGAGAGTTCACAAAAGGACAGCAGCATCCACCTGGGTAATCTGGAAACACTCTGAGGAGGAGGTGTCTAGTACCGTCCCTAGACAACCAAGAGAAGTCCCTGGATGTGGATGTGGCCCCACATGTTAGAGGGCCTCACTCTGCTCAGCCCCCACAGCCTTCCGCACAGAGTGAGGAAAAGCACTGTGCTTTCAAAGCACTTTTTCTCAGGAGGCCTCATGTGGGTTCTCTGAGTGATCTGGGGTGTGTGTGTGGGTGTGCGTGTGTGTGTGTTTGTGTACGTACCTGCCCATGCACACACAGGGGCAAGGTGGGAGCCCTCATTTATCTACCTAGAGCCTTCATTCATAAAACAAGGGGGTGGGTTATCAGGGTTTGCAAGCCCTCTTACGGCAACCCTGGGGGATCAATGAGTGATCACGGTCCTTCCCCGAAGCCCAGAACAGGGCTCTCTGCTTCACTTCCAAGATGAGATTACCTGTAACCTGGACAGAAAAAGCCTTCAGGTCTTGGGCTGGAGCTCTAAGATCCTTTCTAGGCCCCAGTTCCTAGGGTTCTGTGATTCTGTGAAAGGAAGTGACAGCTAGGTCCCAGGATGCAGCCGAACCCAGAGCACTAACGTGGGTTGTCTGTGACTCTAAATATCTTCCTTTTATGCCTCCTTCCCGGGGACTCACTCTGACATCTTTTCACCTGGACAATTCACTGCATTTATTTATTTCACTGAATTTATTTCTCATCCTGTCATTACCTACGAGTGTCTCTTGGCAGAAAGAGCCATGGGCTCTGTAGATGGTGGAGAACCCCATGCCTGGTCACCGGGAGAGGTACACTCAGCCGCCAAGGGGCCAGCAGCAGACCTTCAAGGTGGAACGGAAGCAGCTGCAGAGTCAGCACAATCACTCAGGTGGCAGCAGAGATGGGCCCGCCCCTGCACCAGCCCCCATCCCTGCAGGTGGTTGCCCTGGGCTGACAGTGAACTGAGCAGCTGGTTGCTGAGCTGCACTCTTTTGGCAGAGCCTGATGGCGTTCAGTGCCTGCCACCTGCCCTAAGCATCTTCTGAGTTGTCTCTTCTCAGGAGCCCTCTGTCCTTTGCCCTCCATATCTCTATGCCATGCCCATTCAGGCTTCTAACCTGTATCTTCTTTCTCATTCTGAATCTGGCCATTCTGTGTCTCACTTCCTGGCAGCCAGGCTCAGTGAGCCGCTTGCTTATGTACAGTGTCTTGCTATGTTAACTTTCCCAGGATATTTTTGGCTCTTGCATATCTTTCCCTCCTTTACCACATTGTAAAGTTTATCAGTGTGGGTCATTCCCATTATCGGATAATTCCCCAAGGCAAAAATGATCATGTTCCTATGGCATGTAGGAGGTATTCTGCAAACATCTGTTGATGAGTGGGTTATCTCACAGGAACCTCCTGGAGGCATGCCTGTGGGGTGATGTATTTGGGGGCAGAGGACGCTTCCAGCCATTCCCCTAGTCATCACCTGGATGCCCACCTCCATGTCCCTGTCTAAGCCCCTTCGTGACCTGCACGTGTGTGCCAGGGTTTCACAGTTACCAGAGAATCATTGGCTCAGAGTTGTTGGAGGACAGAAGCACCATGTTTCTCCAGCAGGCCTATGATGGACAAGATTTCACGATCTTCACTAAAGATATCTTTTCCTAGATGGTTATTGATAATGTGGCTCACATTACCAAGTGGGCACAGGAGGCTAATTGGCATGAGTTAATATCAAAAGAATTGGCTAGAAGAAGAACATACTGCTTCATTAGAGAGGTTCCTGCAGTTTGGGGAAGATATCCTGCAAAGGATAGGTAACAAGAAGGGAGAACACCAGGTCCCTACATCCTCAGAACCCTTGGGTTTATATATAACTTCCTCTAATCTAGGTTATAGTCACCCCATTCTGAAATCCACCTTGTTAGTTGCACTGTGGTGATCTGTAACTCCCCGTGAAAACTTCCCTTAGTTACTTTTTATCAGCATCTGGACAAGATTCAGCAACTCCACTTGTCTTGATAGAGTGGAGTACTTCCAAGGGACACCTCCTTTTTGAGGTATCCGGTGAGACAAATCCTTCCATCTCCTGTCAGTGATAAGCTGGGAAATACTTTGGGAGGGAGCCATTCCTATAAGTGGTTTATTAAACTGAGGGCTCATACAGTACCAGTATGAGCGAAAATCTGGACTTATAAAGAAAACAAATGGAGGGTCTTTACTAGATTTATCATAAGATTCCTTTCAGTATAAAGTTCCTCTTAGACATTAAAGATATGACTCAGTTGGTCAACTTTTAGTTAATACAGACTTTTCACATAATCTTACCATTCAAAATGCATGTATGTCTGTATCATGCTATGGGTAACTCCTAGACACAACATGCCTTTTCCCCTAGGAGTGATCTTTAATGGTGAGACTTTCCAGAGCTGTGACAGGCTTTGGGGAGGCATCTGGGTCACAGTTATGAATGTGGACTATCTGCCCGAGAATATCAGCTTTGGAGGCAGATGACTAGAGTTTGAACTTCAACCCTCCCACTCACTAGCTGAATAACCATCTTAATTGCAATGGTTGCTGGTAACAGAAATCTACTCAAACTGGCTTAGACACAAAGAGGAAGCTATTTGAAAGACAAGAATCAGGGCTGTGTGAGAACCCAAGAAACTAAAACCAAGATTCTGATGGCTTTTTCCATGAGGTGGGGATGTGGCAGCCAGCATAAAGCTTATGCATATCCTCCTAGCTTCACCATTCTAGAGGAATGGGCTTCTCTCTCCCAATTCTAGCTACAAAAATACTTTTTTTCACAGGAGAACTACGGTTGGTCTGAATCGGATCGTGTGCCACTCCCCAGACTAATCACTGCAACCATCAGGACGAGTTTCTAAGATTGGCTGTGGGTAACAGAATCCCGGTAAGAAATAACTGGCACACTCAAAATGATTTCACTGAATAGAATTCAATCGCGGGATCATGCACAGAGGTACAATCAGGATTGGGGAGACCAGTAAGGCACAGTGAAGTACCCAGAGACTTGCAGCACAGGGAAACCGTTACACCCCCAAATCTGAAGGGGCGAGCAAGGGTCGGTGCCCTAGAAGAAGCGCCTTCTAGCAAGTGCTGTGCCTGTGGAGAAACACAGCAGCTGGCAGACTGCAGTGAGGTGGTTGGGGAACAGGTGTTTGTGACCCCAACCCTTCCCTCTTTTGGCTCTCTGACATTTGCTGAGGATGCTCCTCCACTGGCCAAAACTACTCAGGCCAAGGAGACCCCTGGGGCAGTCTGATGAGCATAACCTCCCAGGGCACGAAGCCAAGCACAGAAGGTCAGAGACCGGATCTGGGGGCTGGAGAGAGAGAGAGAAAGAGAGAAACCAGTACACTGTGGGCTATGTTTGGGTGGAAGGATTAAAATTGATATGTTTTAGGGATGCCGGGGTGGCTCAGTCAGTTAAATATCAGATTTCAGCTCAGGTCATGATCTCATGGTTTGTGGGTTCGATCCCCACGTTGGGCTCTGTACTGACAGCTCAGAGCCTGGAGCCTGCTTCAGATTCTGTGTCTCCCTCTCTCTCTGCCCCTCCCCTGCTTGCTGTCTCTCTCTCTCTCTCTC